ATACCACGTGTTTGACATTGAAGATCATCATGGGTACGTATATGGCTAGGTAGCTTTAATCTCTAAGCATTCTCATTGATGACTTCAACTATCTCACACAGTTCAACCTTTCTTGGTGACAGATTTCCACATTGCCCAACCGGTAAATGGCCCAAATATAGTCTCTCGCATCAAATATTACTTTCCTCATTTTTCCATCATGTTTGTACTTAGCATTGGCTATCTCCAGCTTGTTGTGGACTTCTTTCTAGAGGTTCTTAAGCTTCTGCACCATATCATCAGCCTTGTCATGAATTGGGTTTAGCCAAGTGCTAGTAGAAAGATCAAGGACGCTACGGGGATTGGCCCCATATACTATCTCAACTGAGATGTATTCGGTGCTCTTGTTTTTTGACCTATTGTAAGCAATCTCAGCTTAATCTAATAAGAGATACCACTATTGCTCATGGCTAGTTGCAAGGGCTCTCAAAAGATTTTCCAAACTCCTATCGACTAATTCTGTTTGGCCATCCATTTGATAATGATATGAACTACTTAATTATAATGAGATACCCATTAGCCTCCAAAGATTTCTCCAAAAGTGTGATATGAAATTGGAGTCTCTATTTGAAGTAACCGAAGATGACAAGCCATGGAGTTTGACAATCTCTTTAAGGAATAAACCAGCAATAAGTGAGGCATTCATTGCCTTCCTACATGCCATGAAGTGAGCCATTTTTGAAAAATGGTCTACAACCACCATTATAAAATATACTTGTCGCTGGGTATGTGATAACCCAATAACAAAATCTATAGATATATCTACCCATGGTTTTTTAGGAACTAGGAGGGGCATGTATAATCCAACATTGGTTATTGTCCCCTTAGAGACTTGGCATATGTGACAATGCTCCACAAACCTCGTGATGTCTCTCATCATCTTAGCCCAATAGTTACTTTTTGAAACGAGCTGAATTGTTTTGTCTTACCCAAAATGCCCTTCATTAATTATAAAGCTCTTTGACAATTTCAGCCGCCATGAGCAATCAGGTATACATAAGTGGGTTCTCTTGAATAGGAAGCCATCATATACTACAAAGCATGTCCTACTACTTGCTTACACATCCTCTATGATACCAACAAAATAAGGGTCAGTGAAAAATAATTCACAGAAAGTATCAAACCCCGATACCTATATGCTCGAAACATGGATATCATGGCTCTCTTTCGGTCGAGCGCATCTCCAATTTGATTGTGTACACTCGATTTGTATTTTATCACAAACGAATATTCTTGGAGGTATGTTGCCCATTTAGCATGTCTTGCATTCAACTTATGTTGGCCCCTAATATGCTTAAGTGCTTCATGATCTGATTATAAGATGAACTCTTTATAGATGAGATAATGTCACCAACATTGGAGTTCTTGCACCACGACATAAAATTCTACATCATAAGATGAATAGTTGAGGTGTGATCCATTTAATTTCTCATTGTAGTAGGCTATGGGCCGACCACCTTGGCTGAGAACAACACTGATTCTAACCTTAGAGGCATAACAATCAATCTCAAAGGGTTGCTCAAAGTTGGGAAGAACTAGCACAGGTGCAGATGTCAATCGTGCCTTAATCTCAATGAAGGCCCTTTCTGCTTCAGTGGTGAACACAAAATTGGTATTAGTCTTCATACAATATGTGTATGGTGCCATATCAGTGTTAAAGTTGTTAATAGATTGCCCATAAAAGCTTGCAAGACCATGGAAAATTCATGCTTCAATAAGTGTCTTGGGGATGGGCCATTCAATAATGGCACAAACCTTCTCTAAGTTTACAAAAACTCCTTCCCTTAAGATGGCATACCCTAGGAATAAGGCCCAATCTGTGGCAATGATGTACTTCTTCATATTAATGGTCTATATGAGAGTTCATATCAGTGGATAATATCATCAAAGTATACAACACACTGACCAATAAAAGGCTTGAGAACTTGGTTCATGACCCTCATGAATGTGCTTGGTGCATTAGATAAACCGAATGGCATCACTAGCCATCCATACAAACCACCCCGCATTTTGAACATTGTCTTCCACTCATCACCAGGATGAATTCTAATTTGATGGTGATCCGATTTCAAATCCAACTTAGTAAATACCTTAGCCTCAGAAAGCTGATCTAATATGTTGTCCAAGCGTGGAATTGGAAACTGGTATTTGATGGTTATCTTAATAATTGTATGACTATCAACACACATCTTCCAAGTGCCATCCTTCTTTGGCACTAACAAAACGGGAACTACACATGGATTCATGCTATCTCATATGAACTCCTTAGCAATCAATTCATTTACTTGCTTTTGTAACTCATCATATTTAGTAGGACTCATTATATAATGGGCCTTGCTAGGGAGACTAGCACCCGGTGTTAAATCTATGTAATGTTGGATATTCCTTAATGGTGGTAATCCTATAGGTAAGTCCTCAGGAAACACATCACTAAATTCATTAAGTAAAGATCTCACATCTTCTAGAACCTCATACCTTTCAGCTCAAGCCCCTTGTCAATTAAAGCATATACAACACCTGTCTCTTTTAAGGCATTTGTGAATTCAGTCATGGCAAAGAGGCTAAAACCCTCTTTGGGTTTCGGTTTAGGATATTATCTTGTGAAGGACATAAGATCAGTCTTTTTCCTTTAAACTCAAAAGAGTATGTGTTCTTTCACCCGTCATGGACTACATGGCAGTCAAATTACCATGAGTGCCCAAGTAGCAAATGGAAAGCATCTGTGTATACAATATCACACCATACATGATCACTATAATTATTGCCAATAGAAAAGCTCACTAAACACCGTTGTGTGACTGGAGTCTTATTCTTTTTTTTTTAGCCATACAAGCTTGTAGGGTGAGGGTGTTGTTGAGATTTTAGGTTCATGTTGCGGATGGCTACTTCTGTTATAATATTCTCACAACTCCCACTATTAATTACAAGGCTTGCTACATTCCCACCCATAGTACACGTGGTGTGGAAGATATTATTCCTTAGCTAATCTGATGATTCATCCTTAGGAGTTATAAATGATCGTTGCATCACCAAGGCCTCTCCCATATCCCCATACACCATTTCTCCCTCTAAGGTTTCTTCATTATAAGTGTCAAACATAGGTGAGGTTGAATAGTCAAATACTTTCAATTGAATAGTCAAATGCTTTCAATTGGGTTTCACTCTCGTCTTCTACAAAGATCACCTTTTTTCTTTTACCACCCTTGAGCATTTAACAATTTATGGCTTAGTTTACCACACTTAAAGCACTTTAGTCCAGGTAGACCCACCTGGTTTTGATCAGGTCCACAACCTTGGTTTTGGTTCAGCCAACTGGACTACGACTAGGTGGTTGAATTTAGAGGCAGGTTGGGATAACTACATGGGGGTGGTTTGGCCATATTAGTCTGGGTTCATCCCAATTGGTTAGGTTGGTTGCTTTATCTTTTTATGATCAGAGCATGTTGCCCACCTATATACTTAGCCACCAATTGATCTTCAGTTTTAGCTAATTTATTCTAGGCTACTAATAAATGAAACTTCTTTGTATGTTCATCTTCTATATCATTTCTTTGCCTTTTTGTAATTCTTGATAAAGTAAATGGATATAATTAGGGGGTAGAAATTTTGACATCATCTTTGCCTTGAGTTTCTCTCATGTCTTAATCTTTTCCTTACCTCTTTTCTGTCACATAATCTTCAATTGATGCCACAATGCTACTGCTCACCCTCTAAATATTAAGGACACTATCATATTTTTCAGAACTTCCTTGAATTCCAAGACTTCTTCTACCACAAAGAGTCAATCCATGAATTCTTCGAGAGTTATACCTCCTTGGAATTTCGCAATTTCAACCTTGAGACCCGCTTCCCACCGTCTCTTGTCACTACCCGCAATTACAACTGACCTGGTTGCTTGCCTTGATGATGAAAAGAAACACATGGAGATACTTGCATCGAAGTCACTGTCCCCTATTTCCGAACAGGAACACAACAATTTCAACTCCTGAGCAAATGTCTCGACCTGTCTTCTTAGCTCTGCCATCTCTTCTTGTGTTTTATTGTTGAGTTTCTGCTCCATAATGTGAGCCACTTGTTTCTTCTTGAAAACCACAATCCAAAGAATGATCAAACTTGAACTCTGATACCAACTTTCTGGCTTAGAAAAGTTTCAAAGAAAAAAACAAAAGCTGAAATAAACAGGAAGAACAACTATTCACTGAATACTTAAGAGAAAATCAACATAAAATTGTCTGACCCTTCCCCTAGCTACTCTTTATATAGACTTACACCCTTATGGCTCCTATAAGAAAATTTCATAATCTATAAAAACACTACATTATAGAATCCTATTAAAACTCTTCAAAAAGAAAATCCTAATTGAACAAAAATTTGGAAATCACGATCTAATACTAACTTGGTAATTTTGAACTAGAATAGAAGTCATGCGCTAATACTAGCTTGGTAAATTTGAACTAAGATAGAAGTTATGCACTGGTACTAATTTGGTAATTTCAAACTAAGATACGAGTTTTGTGCTCGTGCTAAGTTGATAATTTCGAACTAAGGTTGAAGTTTCGTGCTGATACTAACTCGGCAATTGATTACTTTGTTGGATTAATAATGTTATCCAAACTTCTTATGTGTCTTGGGACTTATTGGCATTTTCCGATACTGCATCAGTTTTTTAGTAAATTTTGTTTTTCTCTAAAATGTTCCCAAGTTTATTCCATACTTTTAACCATTTTATTCTTTTTTTTTTAATAAATTGAAATCGTCTTAACACGTGGTAAGCTTTTGATAAAAAAATGTATCTAACCACTAAAAAAGAGTTGAGAATGAGCTTAACAGAATTGGTAAAAACGTAAGGGACAATTTCGGATAATAGTATATAGCCCTCAAACCTGGCCCAGCCCGGCCCATGATCACCCTTACTCAATGTCAATGGATAGTTGAGTTGTAAGATTAGGGTTGGGACTTCGATATAAAACGAACTGTTAGTGTTGAAGCTTCTTCATCTTTCTCCGCCGCTGCAAAACCCTAACCCTAGGAGATGGGTCGTGTGATCAGAGCGCAGCGTAAGGGTGCTGGATCAGTATTCAAGTCCCACACCCACCACCGTAAGGGACCGGCCAGATTCAGAAGCCTTGACTTCGGTGAGCGCAATGGATACCTCAAGGGTGTCGTCACCGAGATCGTGCACGACCCAGGTCGTGGTGCACCACTCGCTCGGGTAACCTTCCGCCATCCTTTCCGCTACAAGCATCAGAAGGAGCTTTTCGTCGCTGCGGAGGGCATGTATACCGGTCAGTTCGTCTACTGTGGTAAGAAGGCTAATCTCATGGTGGGTAACGTTCTTCCACTCCGATCAGTCCCTGAGGGAGCTGTTGTTTGCAACGTCGAGCACCACGTCGGTGACCGTGGGGTCTTCGCTAGATCTTCTGGAGATTACGCGATTGTTATCAGCCATAACCCGGATAATGGTACTACCAGGTATGTATATACTTTAACTAAATTTGGGTTGATTTTGATGTTTTTTTCTTAATTTTCTTCTCATTGTTTCTGTACCGTTTCATTTATTCATTTCTTTTAGGAATCGTTTTTTTTTGTCATTTATGTAGGATTAATCTTCCTTTTATTGCTTATTGACTTACTTTGTACGCTATAGACTATAGCTTCGAAATAAATCAGGATTTTTAATTATAAAAAATCTGTTTTTTTTCTTCTCCTTTTTAGCTGCACGCGTAATGGATCTGTAGTGAATGCAGCTTAACCAACATTTCTTGTAGTTGCATACATTATGTTGGATGTAACAGGAATGCTTTCCATGACAGCTTATTATCTAAGCTGGTATATAACAACTTCTAGTTTCTGAGCAGTCGTTAGATGGTTTGCATGTTTTATGTTCTTATGAGTTTTTGTAGCATATCCTTTGTGGATGGGAGGCAATCTATTAACTTTTTACCTTGTAATTTTATCGCTGCAAGATGCTTATCTGATCTCTGCATTGCCCGTTTGGCACTGACATGTGTTTTGGCATTCGGGATATGAGAAACTAGATGTTATTTGACTGTCGTGCCTAAGAATGTGTTCTCTAACTTCTATTGGAATTGCTGCGATTCTTGGCCATTAAAAGATGTCTGTCACAATACATTGTTTCATCTGTTCAGTGATGGATCTAGTATGTGTAGCCTGCTGGATTGTTTCTTGGGTCAACCATCTGTAGTTTCATGGTTTAGGAAAAGGAAGGATTTTCTGGGTTTGAGAATGATACGTTTTTCTTGATCTTGACAATCATATCTGCATTAATTAGTTTATTATTTGGAATACAAGAAAACACATCTATGACAAACCAGAAAATCTTGTAGAGATGGTTTAATCTCTGGATAACAATATAGAGAAAATATGATTGGTGGCTGAGAAGAGAAAGCTGCGGGGTATGTTAGGTCTGACCAGAGGTCCTTTTCTGATGAAGCCTCATTACATGTTTCTTCAAAACCTCCTAGACCTTTGAATACTATGAAGAAGAGATCAAATTGGACTAGGAGTGCTGCTGTTAACAGTTACACTAAGGAGTTTACATTTAAGGCATCTCAACTCAACTAGGCCTTGTCCTTCATATTTGGTTGTCTACATGAATCCCGTTCTGTGATTTTATTCTGTTCAATGCCATATCCTCTGTTAAATTATGGATTTCTCTTTGAAATATGTGGTTAAACTTCTGAACTGTGAATGATTAGGTTTAGCAGTGTATTGCTCTGGTGATCTTCATGTCAGGTACCTGGTTTGAAGAAATTACACTGCATCTGGCCTTAACCTTCTCAAATTTTAACAAATGCTCATTCAACGTGAGTCTACTCAAGTTGCACTCTTAATTTCAGTGGTGGGGGAAAGGTTGGTTAGTATTGTAATCCTCATGTTCTGAATTTTGAATGGAAAAAAGGATGCAAATTTATGAGGAAGAGATCTGCTGGTATCCCAGGTCTGTCTGGAATCGGGGGTGTTTTTAGAGATGAGGAAGAGTGCTGGCCCATTTTCTTGGGCCCGATTGGGGTAGGAGATTCTCTAAGGGCAGTAATGTTGGCTTTACTCCAAGGTTTCAGATTAGCTAAACAATGAGGATTGAAACAGTTGGAAGTGGAAGGTGATTCCAAGCTGGTAATTGGCTGGCTGCAAAAGAGAAGCTTGGACTCTTAGACTTTCAGGCAGTACTTAAAGGAAATTATGATTTTAACTCGGGGGCTTGGGGTTTAGGTCAGGTGAACTAGAAGATGAGATAATGGTAATGCCGATGCTTTAGCAAAACAGGGAGTAAATAGGGTGGCTTTGTTCTGTGTTGTTTTGTAAGAATCTTTCTTGAGGGTTCTCCACCATTCATTCAGTGGTGACAGTTGTACTTAAGTTAATCAATGGAATTTACTGTTTCTTACAAAATAAAAAAATATGAAGAAGAGGGAACCAAAAGCCTGTCTTTAAAACGACCAAGGTTAAAGCTAGGGGTTCCTTAGGCTATGTTTGGTTTGAAGGAAAAGATGGGGAAAGGGAAACGTCGGGGAAACCAATACAAGGTTTGTAATGGTTTCCCTACCTTTCCCTACATTTTCCTTCAAACCAAACATAGCCTTAGTGAGAGGCTAAACAGAGAACCAGATGTCCATGCGATGTGCATGCTACTGAAGAGATCTAAACAGAGAACCAGATAAAAATACATTTTAGGTGCCTCTTTGGCTTTCTTGCAGAAAGTATTCATCCATCTGAAATAATATCCGTGTTCCCTGTTTCTCTATTACAATGACCTCTTTTTTGCTTCTGGACGTTGGTAGCTTTAGCTTCATTGTTTGGTAGAGGTAGTTGTTTAACTTTAACCTGATTACCTTGTGCTATTGTCAGGATCAAGCTACCCTCTGGATCCAAGAAGATTGTACCAAGTGGGTGCAGAGCAATGATTGGCCAGGTTGCTGGTGGAGGCAGAACTGAGAAACCACTTCTCAAGGCAGGCAACGCCTATCACAAGTATAGGGTCAAGAGGAACTGCTGGCCTAAGGTTCGTGGTGTTGCTATGAACCCTGTAGAGCATCCCCATGGTGGTGGTAACCACCAACACATTGGTCATGCAAGTACTGTTCGGCGTGATGCCCCTCCTGGACAGAAGGTTGGTCTCATCGCTGCCAGGAGGACTGGTCGTTTGCGAGGACAAGCTGCTGCAACTGCTGCGAAAGCGGAAAAAAGTGCATAAGGGAGTTTTATGTTTGGTTTCCTTTTCACCTTATTATCGTTTGTCTTTCAAATATCCTTGTTTTCTAATTTTCTTGGAACAGTGTAATCAAAGGGGAGACATACTGAAGTTTTGTTTTCAGTTTAGGAGTGAGATGTACTCAATCAGCTTTCATTATTTCTGCACTCCGCCAGTGTTGTTTTTTCTTTGCTTGTTTTCTACTAGTCCATGGCAAATTTTATTAATTGTCTGTGTATCACTTTGGCGTTATATCATCAATATGATGAGGCAAACAACAATTTCTCGACAAAATCGTTATTGTTAAAAGATGTATCCAAGATCCTGGAATATCCGAGGAATGCGAATCATTTTCAAGCTCGTGAATAGAATCATCAAATAATCTTGTAGGTTGCAGCTACTAGCTAGTGTGGGAGTAGCTGAAAATATTAATCGGTTCCTTTTTCTGTTTGACTGTTTCGTCTATCATTCTGTCTCTTACGTCTTATTAGTGTTTTTCTTTGCGTGATTGCTCTAATTATTATCTCTCATTGTGCTGTAAGCCTTTAATGCAGTTCCTTTGCCTTTTACTGAAATAAATGGTGGCACCCTTGGATGAAAAACTTGATTCTGGGACAAATTTTGTTTCTTACAGAAACAATGTTGTGTGCAACTGTGCACTTATTTGAGTATCGGCTTGCGTTTCAACTTCCAACTAAGATTATGCTCCATCGTTATCATCATCAGCATCATAACATTTTATGGTAGTGCGGACCACATTTTTCTCTTATGGTTAAATACTATCCTGAGGAGGCGAGTCGAGTGTTATTTATTGGTTGATCCTTCATTTTTCAGAAGGTTTTTTTTTATTTTTTATTTTTTGTATGGTTTGTTCTACTGCCAATTTATAACTGTTTGACGGTAAATAGTGAGAAAACAAGTTGATTAGAATCATTAGATGGAACTTTAGAAGTCAGGTTTGGTTGCAATAATTACCAGGTCGGATGCATATTTGACCCCTTCGATACAATTAATATCTGAGACCAATTAAATTCTCTCTCTCGGGTAGAAAAATTTTCTTTTATGCTTTATAATTTAACAATTAATATTTATATTTATATAAAGTATAAACCTTTTTTAGGCTGTGTTTGTTTTTGGTGAAGTACAAACCTTTTTTAGGCTGCGTTTGTTTTTGGTGTAAACTTCACAAGTTCAATCGATGGGGAAGTTTACATCGATTTAAACCTTACACTGAAACAAACGTGTGAAAATATGGACCGGGAGTAGAGTTTTACATCAGACATCAGTTCGTATTTAGACTGAAAGTAAATGCAAGCACCGGCAATGGAATTTTACATCGATTCGCATCTACACCCAAAACAAAACAAAAGCAACCTTAAGATAAAGACCTTAGGCTATTGGCACAATTCAACTGTGGGAGCTAAATATCCACAGTTTACAGTTAGGGGTGTAAATAGATCGAATTTTGAATTAAATCAAGCAATATTTGAATTCGAATTTGACCAATTAATTGTTTTAAGTAATTAATAAATATATAAAATAAATATTGTATTTATATAAAGTATATAAATATATAAATTATTTATATAAATTATATAAAATATTTAAATATTTTATATATTATGTATAAGAATTAAATAATCAATCCAACTTGGATATTTATCGAATCGAATAAGGTCATATCTGATTTCAACCAATTACATATTCAAATCATCCGAATTCAATTCTATTATGTCGAAACTCAAATTTGAAATCGGATTTTCGAATATCATTGACACCCCTATTTACAGTTATCTACTATTCTTTTATTCTCCCAAGTGGACCAGGATTCTCCATTGTTAGGAGAGACATTATCACTAAAGAATCACCTTCAATCAAGATATTTGTTATCCGGATCCTCTAATCCAACTTTGATACCTTCTTTGAAAGCAAGAGACTCAATAACCTAGCCTGAATGAAGAGAGACTTACTTTGAATATTTATATAAACTTATTCCATATGCATAGGAGAAATTTTTAAAACTTTTGCTTTTACAAATTCTAAGGATAATGAAGTGAATGCAGAGCAAATTCCTATCTGATTCAAAATTTCATAGTATCCAAATATGAATTGAGACCCCGTTTCTTTCAAACCAAACACAGATTTAAAGTTCTATCAAATTATTTATTTTTTATAGTAAAAATTATAAAATCTAAAAGTATTGGCCCATTTGGTCACTAATAAATACACAATAATTTCTCTAAAAATTAATTAAGTCCCTTTACAAAAATGCCCAAAAATAAATATCGCTACAGAATATGAGGACATTCCTAAAACCGGTCCATGTATTGCACGGGGTCCTTATATAATTAGAGAAAAATAGAGATTTAAAGAATATTTTATATTATATTTATTATCATATAATATTTAAAATTTATTTAAAGATATACAAGTTTTCAAAATCTAAATGTCTTTTCATTTTGTTGGTTCTTCAAATATTTGAATTTTTAAACCATAGGCCAACAACCAGGTCCAAAACCAGCCCAGCGGAGGCCTTGGATTAGATGTCAAGTCACTAGAGCGATGAGCAATGGCTTGGCAATTTTCTTACAGAAAAGGGTAAATTGCATATTAGTATCCTCTACTTCGGGGCTAGTTTCAATTTAGTATTAGAACTTTAAAATGTGCCACTATGGTATTTGAATTTTTAAAAACTATTAATTTAGTCCAAAATTGTTAATCAACATTAAGTGGCATGTGAAAGGACACAAATGCCCTTTGAGTTTTGAATAGATGAGAGAAGCATAATTTTGAAATGGCCAAAATAACCATGTTTAAATCCCTTTTCACTATGATTGGGCACCATTGTTCACTTTATGCCCTAACCTTTCTACTACAGAATTAGTGCTTTCTGCCGGAAAAGCTACATGGAAACATGTCCTCAAGGAAGACGATGGCATTGCCCAAAAAGAGGGATTTAGACTGTTGTCATTATAATCCTTTTTTTTTCAGTTATTCAATCCATAACAAAGGGGATTTAGATTGTTGGAGAAGACGAATAATTCTTGCCATCACTAGGAACGACAATCAAGATAAAATTATCTCAAAATATTAAAAAGCACTTTTTTTTTGTATTTTTTAAATTAAGTTGCATGCCATCATGTAATATAGATAATTGATGGATTGCTAACTATGGGTACTAAAGTGGCAGTTTTCGAAAGTTTAGATGTTGTAGTGACACATTTTGAAATTTGGGTACTAAAGTAAAACTAACACTATATTTCATTAGTCATATGAATTCCCCTTTCATCTCACACAATATTTTTTCTACACTAAAACAAGATTCTGGTACTATTGTGGACATTGGAGGGATTGGTAGATCATGTGTTGCAGCGACAAGTATAGGATAATTATTTTATTGTATTTTCCATCAAGCTAAAATATCAAAATTTCTTATGTTGAACATCTAACAATCTGCTAGATGTTTTCTCAAATGGCTAGTGCCAATGCTTCTATTACTTTGATAGTAAAAACCATGTTTACATTTATTGCAAACTACTCTCATGTCCTTTCTTGATACACTATTCATGGTAAAATAAGTAGAGTTTGAGAGGAATTGGTCATTTTAATAAATGTTAAAATCTAAAAATTCACAAAAAATCCAACTACCCCAATAATTGCACTTTGGTCCTTGGAATTTGGTCTACCGATTCGATATTTCAACTTAAATGCAAAGCTTTTAAGTCTCCCAAATTCCCAACTTCAACTTGAAACACTCAATCAAGCCTTCCTTCTTGTTGAAATTAAAAAATATAAAAAATTGAGAATATATGAAATGAGAATAAACTATAGAATAATGAGAACGGGAAATTGTACTTGATTGGATGAGAATGATTGTGTTGTGATGAAAATGGGTAAGGGTTAACCCATATTTATAGGAGTTAGAAATAATTGAATTGATCATAGTATCCAACTAGCTATTTATGATTGTTAAGAGAAGTATTTTGGTCATTTATAAAACTTATGTAAACTAATTGTTTATAACTTTTAGGAGTATTTTAATTATTTTGTATTCCTTTGATAAAATACACAAATACCCCCAAAATAGTTGTCTATAGTTGTTGGTGGATATTTTTGCCCTTATACTCTTTTATAATGACTATAATTGGTGTGGGTCATGATACCTGTTACACTTGTGCCGGGCCATGGGTCGTGTTCTGCCTGACATACAAGCCCACACATACCACAGGCCAAAACCCCTCATCCCAACTTGGCCTAGGGGTCGTGCCATGTCTAATACAGCCGAATTGGGATATACTCCTCACAGGGCGCCTCACACCGACTTCACATCCATATCGCACCTTGTATTAGCAACATCTTATATGAATTATAAATATAAGTATAAAAGATGTTATAATTATAAATATAATTATAAAGGGTACTAAAATGCAATTTACAAAAAAAAAGAATAAAAAACGAAAAAAAAGATGTGCTGTGGTGCATTGTGGGGCGCCCCCTTGTGGAGCGCTCCACTTCTCTTTCACTCGCGCTCTCCCCTTTTCTCTGACTTCTATAAAGATCACAGTTTTATACTCTCTGGTCTTAGGAGGAAACAGAGTAAGAGAAAGGCATGGCAATGAGAGCGGTGGCGGCAGCACCTCGTGGATTGAGAAGACTATTTTCGAGCTTCACTTTCACTCCGCCAAGCTCCGCTGCGACTACAGCTCCTCCTCCGGCAGAACCATCGACTAACCTCTTCGTCTCAGGCATGCCCCTTTTTCTCTTAATCTTCTTCTTTTGTTCTTTTCGCTTGATCCATGTGAACCACTATTAGTCATCTAATGGCATAAACTCTGTTTTCAAAATGAGTACTTGTGCCTATTACTTGCTTGGTATCACTGCTGTTCTTGTTGGTTTCTATCTACGAGAATAACATTTTCCTGTAGGTTTCCACTCGAATAGGTTAATTGATTAGCTTTTAGAGGAATTAATTGATTAGCTTTTAGGTTTGTATGACTGTATCCGGTCCACCCCGGATAGTTGGGACTTGGGGCCAACATTAGGTAATGGCATTTTTTCTCTATTTTGGTTGCGTTGACAGTGATAATCATTTAGAGAAATATTCTTGCTTGATGCTGTGTGACTAAACCTAGTTTTTTTTTTTTTTTTTTTCTGTTCTCCACAAGTGGCTGTGCTTTTGTTCAGTGTTTATAATACAAGAAGTTCCAAAGGGATTACGCGAAACAACTTTACTGAATATACAATATACAGGATACCTTCAAAAGAGCCGTGGAATTGAAATTCCTCGTAAGTCGAATAAAGGACCACTACAAAGATGGTCTATATAAGAAGCCCTAGATAGACAAGCAGAGAGTGGTGAACCTTATCCTCTGAATCATTTGTGCGATTGAGATCATGGTTTACGTTTTTAACCCATTTAGAATTCTTAATTTGTTAGTTGAAATCTTCCTTTTATACCATTTATCTAGTTTTTGCAGCTAGAAAAAACTTCACGGTTAATAAATCTGAACAGAGAAGATCGTAGTTTTGTATATACCTTGCACTAGGTAACATTGAGAAAACATTATTTTATTTATTTATTTATTTATTGATAAATAACTTCAATTTTTATTAAAACATAAGGTAATGGAAACATTACAAGCATCCCTTAGAGAGGCACGAGATGCTACCTCTTTAGTTGTTTCCTTTATTGCACTACTGAAATGCATTGGATGAGTTTTCAGAAACAAGGAACTTAGTGGGCTCTATATTAGCATTATTGCCAGGAAATTGTTGAAGAGATGCCTAAATGATATACCCAAGGTTTATGTGAGGTTTTGGAATTAAAAGTTGTAACAGGGTAGAAGTGCAAATTGCAAAATGATATGACAGGGCGAAGTGTCGCAAAGGACAAGTGGGAACACAATGTGAATCAAGAATTAGAGTAAACAAGTGAGATGCGAAGCAAGAACATGTGAATTACAAAGAGGTTTACAAGAGTGAATTATGAAATGCTAAGGGAGTAAGGAACACACATTTGGAGTACTGTGAAGCAATGTTTTAAAACATAGAGGCGTGGTGCATAGTTTAGGGTGCAAGAAGCATAAGCCTCTTGAGCACAAGGAGGCATAAATGTTGTGTAGACGTTTTATATGTTTTGTTATGGCCTTATGTGGTTGGGTTCATATGTTGTGCGCTATGATTAGTTTTTTGGGGTGGGGGCAAAGCCCCCATAAGCCACTAAATCCGTACAATGGCATTCTGATAACACTGTATGTAATAAACAAGTTTGGAGGGTTTTTATTCTCTGGATTATGTTAATATATAATGGGGAACATGATAAAGTGGTTGCTCCACTTTTATCTATAGCATTTTATTATAAAAGCATAAGAGGCATTCACCTCAAGTGTCTATGCTCTTCTAGACTGTTGTCAACACAAATTTCATGTATTTAATTAACAAAAAATGTGGAGACAAACTACAAAATGAGATTTGTAATAAAGAAAAATACAAGGGATTTGACTCTTTTTGAATCTGTTCAATGACGTGTGCAACCTCTCATTAATAGTAAAAAATGATGAAGATGAGGGTTGTTGGTGTGTTTCTTGTGCTTCTCAAAGTGTTGATGCAGATTTCCTTAATTTTGGTGCTTTTGAAGAGTTAATGTAGATTTCTTCATACCAGGCTTCTCAAAGACGAGGGTTGTTGGTGTGTTTTGATGCTTTTGAACCAATTGGTTCTCGGGACAATCGGGTCTGACCCAATGGACCTGATTATAATAAACCTACTAAATTTGGTTTGGGATTGGGTAGAACTGGTTCCGAACCGATAATAGTTTGGACAATGGATTAGGAACTGAAACCAACCCCATCGGTACCAGATTCTGTAACTGGCCCAATTGGTTCGGGCCAATCGGGTCGGACCTGATCCATTGGCAGCCCTATATGAGTATTGGCCCTTTGAATCATGTGATACACAATTTTTGAATATCGATACTTTGAACCTTGACTGGGATTGGATTTGACTTAGGTATTTTGAGCTTGTACTGAGACTTGGGCTACCAGATCCAGCTTGAGTCTTAGTGTCACGCATTATATATCATGTCACATTATTATTCATATATAAACAAGTATGATATTTGGTTTCATTTTGTGGTTTAATGATGACTTGTTGAATTTTGAAGGGCCCAAGGGTTAAAGATAAGTAAATTAGGCTGAGGTTAGGCCCAAATATAGAACTTCAGGTCCCGCTGGTTTATGGTGTAATAATTTATATTAAGGCTTCTTGCTGAGTAATATTCATTCTTCTTCCTTTAGTGGGATATCAATATTTAACAAAAAATATTTCTGTTCTCATGTCTGGTATATTTTATTTGCTTTTTCTTTTTTATGACTTTTTTCGGTGGTTTGGGTGTTATTACCTTTCCAATTGTTTCCTATCTCATGCTTAATGTATGAGGTGCTTCTGATATAATATATTTCTTTATTAGTTATACATTCCATGGTTACCAGTATTGAGTATGTAGCTTAAAACCTTATCCAGAATCATAATGTCAAAAGACTAATTGGGAAATGTTTTTGTTGGCTTGGCTTCAAATTCTATAGGAGACATCTTGTACTTGATCGATTTTAACTCAGTACCACAGAAAAAGAGGAAAGAGAAGTAATTATGGTTATCAAAATTTGTTCTTATGTTGGGAAGTTGTTTCCATTCTTGAAGGGAAAAAGTTGTACTTCTTAAGAGTATGGTTATGGAAAATTAAGAATCATATTATCTTCATGTGGAACTGGCTTTAGATCATTCATGAACATGAAATCAAATTTTAAATTGGCTGATGGAAATGTGTCATTCAACCGGAGTAGTTCTGATATTTAAATGTATTATACATATGATAAGATGGTTCATATGTTTAATGTAATTTGATGTTTTAGTGTCAAAAACTAGGCTGAATTACTGTGGTTGGTAAATCAACTTTCTTTCTACAGTGTATAGTGTTACTCCTTGTTCTAAAACTACCCACAATGCTTCTACAGGGCTTAACAAACGTACAACTTCTGAGGGACTCAGAGAATCCTTTTCAAAATTTGGGGAAGTGGTCTATGGTATGTTCTACTCAAATCCAAGGTGTTTTCTCCTTCAGAATTATTCAGGAAATTTAATGGAAGAGTTATTCAACATCAACCCATTTGTGATTTGCAGCTAGAGTTGTGACTGATCGTGTATCGGGGTATTCCAAAGGCTTTGGTTTTGTGCGATATGCCACTTTGGAACAGGCTGCTGAAGGTATAAAGGGCATGGATGGCAAGGTGAGCTAAAAAACCTTTAACATATGATAGTTGTGACCAAATAGATACTAAAATGGCAGTTGGAAGAACTGCAGCAAGGATGATTTTTGCTCTATAATTGGATTGTAATATAGATGATAATTCAGAAAAAAGAAGCACAATATTGTTAACAAACTGCTTGGAGTTGAGGAAAAATAAAGAATGAATAATTTTTATTTTTCAGCGTTTTATTGCATGCCATTTCCATGTTGTGAAGCCTCATAAAGCAAATCAAACATTGATCAAGTTAACTGTGAAATTTGGGATAATTAACTTCAAATTGAGTTTTATCTAGTGGTTTTGCATCTATTTGGGGAGTTCATCATCTTTTACTGTATTATTACAAGTGGGAATCATGTAAAAAGTTGGCAAAACTTCTTTCTTTTTCTGAAGTTCAGAGGCACGTTAGTTGCTTTTTTTTTTTTGAAAACTGTAAAGTATTTTACTAAATTCAAAAAGTCAAAATACAAATGCACAATGAGAAGCTGAACACAGGATATACAATTCTGCTCAAAACAGCCCAATGCCCAACACAATTTAACCTTTCCTTACAAAAAGGAAGTTGAAATCAAAGAAAGAACTAGAATGTCTACTTCTAAATAAAGGGTGAACTGCCAACCATGAGTGAACCATCCCCAGTATTTTCCTTAAGATTGCTTCCTTTGGAGTACGAATTCCTTGAAACAATCTCCTGTTTCTTTCACACCACACAGCCCAGAAGACTGCTGAGGGGAGTATGCTCCATGCTATCTTTTCAGCCCTACTTAAACCTTCTAGACACCATGCCCCCTTCACATAAGCTGGGAAGCACAACTTTACATCAAACAAACCCACCAGTCTTAACCAGATCCAATGAGTATGATGTGGCGCGATCCGGGCACTTCTAGCTGGCTGCTGACTAGCTCCTTGTTAGCAACGAGCGGCACCTGAGAAGATGAAAGGAAGGATTCCCGGGGATTTGCTCGGTGGGAATACTCCGATGCTTAAGTTAGTACTGTGTATGGGAAGTAAAGAGAGAAACTAAGGCTAAGAGTGGAGGTCGCACTTTATCACTATACTCGAGAGATTAGAGGTCTCCAGCAGAAATTTCCCCTTTGCCCTGAGAGCTTTTATAGGAGCGCTCTTGCGAGATCGGGAATAACTGCCACTGGGTCCCTGCCACAGCCATTACTTGCCAGGGCTGCGCAGGTGGCCGTTGGGGACGTACTCCTTACTCGGGTGAGTGACACGTCCTCAAAGTGATAGGCACGCCTCCGCCTACTGAGAGACGTGGGCGTAGACTATCGAAAGGACAGAGACTGCGCCGTCAGTTAGGGACGTGGTCCAGTCTGACTGGTACGGCTTATTAAATAGAAGCTTCCTGAGGAATGCTCGTGTGGCCCATTCGTGAGCTACTTTTCAACGAGCTTCGAATACTTCAGAAGTACCCTTAGTAGAATTGGTCCTCGAATGATTTGCCTTGTTCGGGAGTTCGGGC